GGGAGCACTACACACTGGGGTCAGTTGGGGGGAAATAGGGGACGGAGGGTGGGGGGTGGGAGGCTGGGGAGAGATAGCAGGGGGAGAAATGCCTGATGTAGGTGATGGGGAAGAAGGCAGCAAATCACACTGCCATGTGTGTTCCTATGCAACAATTCTGCATGTTCTTCACATATACCCCAAAACCTAAAATGCAATAAAATAAATAAATGGGGAAAAAAAAAACCCCTCCATTTCTTTATAAATTACCCAGTCTCAGGTATGTCTTTAACAGCAGTGTGAAAACGGACTAAAATAGTATCCTTCTCCTTAGTGACCACCCAGGCAGAAGTGACCGTCTGACCCACATCTGGTCCCGGAGAGATGCAGAAATCGGCTGTCACTGCCTGATACAGGGACTGCCCTTCCCCTCTCTTCATCTTCCTGCTGAATTACAAGGGTGACGACTGGAGCTGTTCAACCATCCTATGACCGACGGGAAAGACCATACACATGTAGATCCTTGAGCCACAGAACCAGCACCAGCATCCTCTCATTTACTGCTCCAGAGAGAAAAATAAAGCCCTAGGGTTTAAGCCACTATAGTGAGGTTGTCTGGAACCTGCAGCCAAAAGCATCCCTAATTGACATACTATGTGAGATTCCTACGTAAATTTAGCTGTTTGTTTTTGGTCCATATCCCATTAGTATTCTCTATGCACCATGAGACAGGAAGTCATGTCTGTCTTATTCATGACTACATCTCCAGCTCCTAGGCATGGGCCCCAACTCGTGACAGAGTTCAATAACTATGAACCTGTCTGTTCTCTAGTTCCCTTACATGTAAATAGGGATGGTCTCAACACCTTGACAGATTGCAAGGATTAAATGAGTCAATATGTTTTATATATAGCACTTAGAGCAGTGCCTGGCATATAATCACAGCACAAAGAGTTGCTATTATTTGTTGATTTAATGAAGTAATTAATTTATGGAAGAAAGGATCCCTCCTCTGTGTGCTTTAGCAGCCGTGTCCTCTGGCTTCCTCTTCCTCTTCAAATCAAAGCTGTGTTTACTTGGTGCTGACAAGTCAGACTATTGATTAAGAAACATGACCATGACAGTTGGAAGAAAGTCACACCATTTACAGTGAGCTGGGGGATTAGCACTTTTAGGGGGTGGAGAAGGGGAGAGACGCTGACACACAAAAGGGTAGGGTGCATAAAACCTGCCATATTCCAAAGGGCAGGCCAAGAAATGCTGGAAATGAAATCCAATATGAGGTTTTGCTGTTGTGCACCGTGGGAAGAAGAGAACTGTGCTTTGCAACTGGTGCCCAGTGAAAGCCACTCAGAGGTCAACTGGAGTTTATAGGGATGGAGATTCAACATGCATTGTAGGGGGACAGGCTATAGTTCGCTGGGATCAAAGAGGTTCATTCATTCATTCATTAAACAAAATATATATGTGTATTTTTGAGACAGGGTCTTGCTCTGTTACCCAGGCTGGAGTGGAGTGGTGTGATCACGAATCACTGTAGCCTCAACCTCCTAGGCTCCAGCATTCCTCCCATCTCAGCCTCTGGAGTAGCTGGTACTAGAGGCATGCACCATCACACCCAGCCCCACTCAACAACCTACTCTGTGTCATGTAGAGAGGGATCTGGCAGAGAAACAGTAAGTGCTGCCTTAACTGAAAAGATCACACTAGGTGATTCCAAGGGACCCCACTGTTTCTCTTTCCTAATTGCCTTGCAAGCAGGTAGATGCCAGCCCCAAATTTCAGATCCCACATGACTTAGTTCATGACCAATACTACTGCTACTAGCTAATATTTTCCGGTACCCACTCTGTACTAGACGCTCTGCCGAGACCACTTTACCAGCTACAGCCAATACCACTCACTAGGAACTTAGCACTGATTTCCCTCTTCTCTTTCACAAAAAATCTCAATTTATTCAGGTGGCACCAGAGGACACAGGCACCCGAATTTGACTATTGGCATCCAAACATGTGCCCTAATGGACACAGAGCTACTATTTCATTCATTTCTTAGAAGTCAATGAGATAGAGGTTAGTGTCATTCCCATTTTACAGTGGAGCAAACTGAGGTTCGGAGAGTTTACATGAATTGCTTCTATCTGATGAAGGTAGAATGTGAATCCAAGCAATTTGATTCTGGAACCTATGTTCTTTCTATTCTTTTGGTCTTTCCCCATTTGTACAGACTGCACATATAAACATTTTTGCATTTAACCCTCCCAAGAACTTGGCAGGTGGGGTTACAGGTAAGGTTTTCAAATATCTGCTGATACATGTTCTCTGATCTGTGTGCTGGCTTTATTCTCTCAGTCACCTCCCTCCTGCTTTTAAGGCTGATCTCTTCCAGCCCAGTGGAGTGGAGAGTGTAGAAAAAGAGGGAGAGAAAGGCGAGAAGCCATCAGCTGCGTCAGGATCTAAGCAGAACTCCTAGGAGGCGAATGTTAGATAGAGCTTGGAGAAAGTCAGAAGCCGAGAAGCTTTTGCATCATTTTCCATGTGACGTTCTGGAAAGAGACATTAAAATCAGCTTACAATAGAGTTAGGCAGAGGGAGAGTTCAAATTTTGCATCCAGAAGGTTCCAGAATATACCAGGTACCCTGCGGAGGGATCTATGACACGGTGCTGATGGTGATAATAAGAGAGACTGATTGAACTTGCTGTACAGGGGTGCAGTACCTCTCAAACTGAGAGCCACACAGTGACCAGAAATGAGACAGGAGCAAAATGTACACGGCAGTCAGACCCTAGACTAAATTTGGCACCACAAAGAGCCAAGGTAGGGCTGGTCAGCGGGAAGATGCCTTGAGTGGACCGAGTTGACCACCGGCTATCCAGAAGCCTATCAGTTGTAGACTCAGCCACTGCGGGCTGCTGGGACAGAGTGGGGTCAAGGGACCCTATTGTCACAGAGGTCAGCAAGGGCCTCCTGAGCAGCATCCCAACACACTGGGTTTTCTTCTATATATCCCGGATGCCACCTTGATGAGACAGAGGAGGGGAAGGAACTCTGAAACGACAAAGTCTCTCAAACCCAGAGGATATGGCAATACCATTCATTGGCAATTTCTAGCTCCTCTTGATCAATGATGACCTTATGGGCAAAACTTGGGAGGAAGATTGGTGCAGTTATGGAACATTCAGAAGCAACTTTTGCTTTGCACAGCTGAGTTGTGGAGGGAGTGTGTGCTCTGTTTAGTCCTGGCACACAGAATACCTATTTCTCCAGATTTTAGCCGACAAGCAAACTGAAAGTTACTATGAAAACCACCTACCTTCTCTGAGCCTCAATTTCCCTGCTTTTAAAATGGGAATAATAAGGGCTACCTCCCAGGATTATGAAGGTAAAATGAAGATCAGCACCATGAAGGAGCATGACGAAGGTCACATGCTAGACGTGGGACCACAGGCTCTCCTTGCCTTCCACTCCACTGTCTTCCCATGGATGCTGTCATGAGAGACACCTAGAGCCAACTGGGACCTGAATAGCAGCTTGATGACAGAAAAGAAACAGACAGGCATCATTTATTTATTTTATTGTTTGGTGACAGAGTCTCACTCTGTCACCAGGCTGGACTGCAGTGGCGTGATCTCGGCTTGCAGCAACTTCTGCCTCCCGGGTTCACGCGATTCTCCTGCCTCAGCCTCCTGAGTAGCTGGGACTACAGGCATGCACCACCACACACAGCTAATTTTTGTATTTTTAGTAGAGATGGGGTTTCACTATGTTGGCCAGGATGGTCTCGATCTCTTGACGTAGTGATCCTCCCACCTTCATCTACCAAAGTGCTGGGATTACAGGCATGCGCCACCACACCTGGCCAACAAGTCTCACTTTAATGCTTGTGGAAAACCTAGGTGAGGCTCCTCTTGTCACCAGTTGTTGTTTATTGACACTTAGTAGACTGATTAAATAAATGAAAGAAAGAATGAATGACAAGGCCTTTGCTAGGGACTACAGGAGTCTTGGACACCAACTGTTGTCATGTGAGACTCCAACGTGTTTTAGTGGGATCACATAAATGGCAAATTAGTCATTTTTCAGTCTTATAAGGTGACAGTTCAGATGTCCCCTCCTCCAGGAAGACCTCCCTGATGCTCCCAGTCTGGTTCAGTCACCTACTGAGTGCTCCTATCACTGCACTTTATGGACTACTCTGTCCATTAAGGTTTTCTCTCTTGATGGTGAGTTCTTATAGGCAAGGTTATGTCTCATTTCATCTCCCTGTGTCCCTAGCACAAGGTTCAACCCAAGGTGGGCATGCAGACAATCACAGGAGCCATTTATTGAGTGCTTTCCAGGTACCTAGTGCTAGGCTAAGTGCTTTAGCTATGATATCCTTGATTTCTGCCATAACCGCAGAAGCCAGGGCCACCTTATCACGCCATCATACAGGTAGGAAAGCTGAGGCTCAGAGACACTGAGCCGCCTGATATTTCTTCCTTGTTTCTATAGCTTTCTTTGCCAGACTGCCTGGCCTAGATTCTTGAGGTTTGGGAAAAGCATAAACCTCAGAGTGATGAGGCGGTCTGGTTGGCTAGGTGGGTGGGTAGAAAGATGGAACAATGAAGAACAAGTACATGCCAGCAGCTGGCATCCATGTTGCATGCCAGACACAGGACCACAGCCTGAGACCACCCCAGGAGAAATGCCTCGTAGCCACCGAATAGGGAGTGTTAACCACACATTCTACAGGACCCATCTGCTAACTGATTTGGAACAAATGGGTGCTTGAGAGCTTGTGCTGTTATGTGCATGCATGATGCTTCCAGCAGAGAGAATGGGGAAAACAAAACCCGAAGTCCCTCCAAATCCCAGCAACACATACAGAAGTTCACAGAGGTGAGCTGACATAAGATGCAGGCAGCAACACAAAAACATCATCGCTATAGTCAAGAGGGAAGAACAGTGCAACACCCATTGCATATCCCATTTTAAAAATAAAACAAGGCCACAGGCTTGCTTTTCCAAGGAGCCCCAGACGGTCTCCAGAAGTCTCCCAGAGGACCTGTTCCTTTGCGGGCCTTTCCTGCCCAAGCTCCGGGCTACCCGTAAATCTGACCCTCTCCGGGGTCAGGGGGCCTCAAGAGCTTGGAGACTCACCGGAGCAAACAACTTAGCAAAAACAATCTGTCCCATAAACAAAGCCAGTGGAAAGCATCCAGGCCCACACAATGGAGCTAATCTTCTGGGCACACATTTCCCGTCTGGGGTATTAGCAAGGATACTGCTTCCTTCTAGGTGGAGGTAAACGCCGCTTGGCCTGTGGCTCCAAGAACAACAATCCTCTGTAGATCCCCCCCTTGTTTGAAACATAACAGGCAGGAATTCAAAAGCAAGGAGCTGTTCTTCTCCCCTTCCTTTCTTTTCTTAAAGAAGCACTGCAAATTTAAAGACCAGGGAAGTTATGGGGAAGGGCATGCTTTATGAATCACAGCACCCAGGCTTCTGAGTTAGCTCATCCTGCTGACTAGCCCTGTGCTTTGGGACAACTGAATTAACTTCCCAGAACCATAACTCCCCCATGATTCAAGTGAGACTGTCTACAGATGTCCAATCCCACTTGTTCTCATGGAAGTGTGAAATTAAAATGTTGAACGCCACTATCAAAAACAAAACCAAAAAAACCCAGTTGCCAGACTTGGTGGCTCAAGCCTGTAATCCAAGCACTTTGGGAGGCTGAGATGGGAGGATCAACTGAGGTCAGGAGTTCAGACCAGTCTGGCCAACATGGTGAAACCCCATCTCTACTAAAAATACAAACTTAGGCGGGCATGGCGGCAGGTGCCTGTAATCCCAGCTACTCCGGAGGCTGAGGCAGAAGAATCACTTGAACCTGGGAGGCGGGAGTTGCCGTGAACTGAGATTGCGCCATTGCACTCCAGCCTGGGGGACAAGACCGTAACTTGTCTCAAAAACACCAACCAACCCAGAACATAACACATGTTGGTGACGATGAGCAGAAATCAGGGCCCTTGTGTGCTGTCGGTGGGAATACAAGATGGGGCAGCATTATGGAAAACAGTATGGAGTTTCTGCAAAACATTCAAAATAGAATTACCATGTGATGCAGCAATCCCACTTCTCAATATATACCCCAAAGGATTGAAAGAAATTTATATGCTCATGCCCATAGCAACATTATTCACAATAGCCAAGAGGTGGAAACAACCCAGATGTCTATCGATGGGTGAATGAATAAAGAAAATGTGGTAGACATATATGATGGATATTGTGGATGAAACTCAGTCTGAGAAAATGAGATCCTGTCACATGCTGCAACACAGATGAACATTATGCTAAGTGAAATGAACCAGACATAAAAAGACAAATACGGCCAGGTGCGGTGGCTCATGCCTGTAATCCCAGCACTTTGGGAGGCTGAGGTGGGCAGATCAAAGATCAAGAGATTGAGACCATCCTTGCCAATATGGTGAAACCCCATCTCTAC